AGAGAGAGAGAGAAAGCGAGAAAGCAAGCCACCAGATCCAGGACTCGAACTGCAGTCAGCCATGTGAGAATCCAGTGCCTTTAACCACCACGTCACCTGCCAGCCCCCTGTCTCATTATTTTAAACACTGAGTTGAAGGTCTAGAAGGACTAGTCTAGTAGTAGGTACCCTCAGGCGCTATGAATGGGGAGCTATTAGAAGGGGGATTTTGGCTTATCTGCTTTGTGTCCATTTTTTACAGTGAGGATGTTTTTTTTTTTGGAGAGGTTTTTGCTACAGGGTGCATGCGCTCGCTTGCCAGAAAGACAGAGAGAGACAGAGAGACAGAAAGCAAAAAATCACCCCCCAGGGGATGACCACGCCGCAATCCCTTCTCCTTTCACCTCTCGGGATCCTGGGCACGCATGCACATGTGCCCAGCATGAGTTTTATGCCACCAGGTCCAGGACTCAAACCGCAGTCGACTACATGGGAGTCCAGTGACATAGCCATTAACGCTAACTGCTGGTCCCCAGTGAGGATGTAGTTTTGTATATTGATTTTTTTAAGTATATTTATTTCTTTCATGAGTGAGAGACAAAAAGACAGAGACCCCAACAGGGTCCTCAGCCAGCCCTGGATTATGGGTGTATGTGTGTTAGGTGTGCCCAGCAAGTTCTCCAGATGCGAACCCAGAATCTTCCCACGTGGATCAGCTTTGCAGTGTCACATCACTGTCCAGCCCTGTATATTGATTTTTTTAAAAAATATTGTGTTATTTCAAAGAATTTTTAAAAGGAAAAAATCTGGCACCAGCAGATGGCTTAGTGGTTACGTCACTGGACTACCACGTGGGTGATCGAGTCCTAGACCCAGAGGCTTGAACTTATGCGGGTGTGTCTGTGCATGCCCAAGATCCTGGGAGAAGAATGGAGGAGAAGGGGTTGCAGTGTGGTCCTCTCCCCTGGGGGGGTGATTTCTCACTTTCCCTCACTGTCTCTGTCTGTCTCTTTGGCAAAGGCACATGCCCTAAGGCAAAAATGGCTAAAAAAGGAAAAGATCTGGAAGACTGTGTTTCCTATCTCCCCTCTCCAGAAAAAAGTGGAGAAAAAGTGCAAGGCAGAGTCTTCTCTGTGTTCTTACTACTGACAGTCTGCTGTGTATCTCTAGGCCTTTCCCTTCCATACGTGTACTAACACCCACGCACACAAGCGCACACATCTTTTTCTTTTTAAGTACAGGGTCTCACTGTGCGGTGATTCTGCCACAGCTCTGAGTCATTGAGTGTACAGGTGAGTGCCAGAACACCAGGCCTTGAGGTTGGACTGAGAATCAAATCTGGGCTTCCCATGTGGTCCCTTGCTACTATGGCTGGGCCCCTGCAATTTAAAAATTTTTTTTTACATTTTGCCATAGAGTGTGTGCATTCATTGGAAAGAGACAGAGAAAGTTGAGAAAGCATCCCCAGGCAGAATGGCCATGCCACAAATGCTTCTCCAACTCCTCTCGGGATTTTGGGCACACACCCGCTGGGCCTAGCATGTTTTTTAAGCTGTTGAATCCAGGACTCAACCACGTGAGATCCAGCACCTTTAACCACCACGCCACCTGCTGGCTCAGCCCCAGTCCTTTTAATGGCTTTACACGATCTCATTTGTTCACATGTGGCACCTAGGACCCCTCAGTGCCTTTGGAGAGCCCTGACTCACGTCTCTTCACTTCCTACAGGCCTGTGTATTCAAAGGAGACAGAGGGAGAGAGAAAGGGAAGCGAGAAAGCATGTTCCAGTGGCGATAGCCATGACCTTGTCCTCCATTCTCTTAGGATTTTGGGCGTGCGCGCGCGCACACACACACACACACACACACACACACACACAGCAGCCAGTGTGTTTTCTTAGCTGCAGTGTCTGGGACTCAAACTGCGCAGCTGGCCATGGGGGGAAGCCGCCTTGCCCCTTGCCTAGTCCCATGGCCCATTTTTATAAATGAAAAAATGGAATTCCAAGGAGAGAAAGGGGCTCATAAACCCAGGATCATAAACTCAGTGTTGTAAGGTGCCCAGAGTCAATTCCCTCTGGGGCCACCACCCCTCCCACTCAGCTTGTGATAGGTGGACCCAGCCCTGTGAGCCTGACCCACTTATCCTGCTCTTCTGGAGCACATCCTGGGGCCCACATCCTGGTTCTGGTGCTGCCTCCTGACTCTCTTGGAAGGACTTGTTTTGCAACCTCACTCTCATTCCCGTTTTCCTTCTTGGTTTTGAAAGTTCCCAGGGCAGCTCCCCTCCAATACTGGCTCCCTGCCCTTGGCACCCAGCATCTGAAATATCAGCCTCTGCCTTCCTGCTTCATTTGCATTTCAAAAGGTCTCTCCAGGAGGATCGTGCTTTGAGATATACTTAAGGGCCCATCTGGAGCGCCTCTCCCTGGCTCTGGGGAAGGTAGTCTGCTCTCTAGAATCACCTGGGAAGCTATAAATACCAATGCCTGAGACCTACCCCAGACTAATTCTGTTAATAGTAGAATCTTTGGGGGTGGCACCCAGGGCACCAGTATTTTTTTAAAGTTCCGCTAGGCAATTCTGATGTGTGCTCAGATTGAGAACTCAAAGTTGTATGAGCTCTACCCTCGTCCTCATCTGTCACATTTCCTAGCTCTTCTGCAAGCTGGTTCCAGGTCAGCTATAGACTGGCTGTGGGACCTTGGGCAAGTCTCTGCCTCTTGGTCTGAGTTTCAGTAAAACTGGGCATGGATTACATCACTTTCAGGGATAGGGTATAAGAGGTGAGGAGTGAGTATGCATCCAGATAACCTGGAGCATTTTCAGAAATAAACCTGCCTGGGCTAGCCCTATGACCTAGTAGTTAAGGGAGCCAGATCCCACATGGCCAACCTCAAGGTTCAAATGCCGCTGGGTCAAGAGTGCGTACCTAAAATCCTGAAAGGAGACTGGAGAAGGAATTTTGGTGTGTGACCATCCTCCCGTGGGGTGAAAAAAAGAAATAAATATATATATATATATATATATATATATATATATATAGCAGCCCCACTTGAATAGGTAAAGGCCGTCTAAATGAGTCACCCTTCTAGAGAGGAAATATCCAGTAGAATTGGATGACTATTTTTAGTTTTGCTCTAGGGCACATGCTTTGGTGAGAAAGAGAGAGAAGGTAAGAAATCACCCCCCAGGGCAGATGGCCACGCCATAGTTCCTCCTCCTCCATCCTCCATTGTCCTGTGGGGATCTTGGGCATGCATGCACATGCATCTGGTGTGATTATCGAGTGTGCAGTCAGTCATGTGGAATCCAGTGGCTTAACCTCCACGCCCTCCTGGCCCTTGAATGACTTTTTAAAACAGTGAGAAACTTCAGCGATGATCACTGTAACATTCCTCACAATCCCCCCCCAACCCCCCATAGAGCTTGTGCCATTTTGCATTCTTGCCAACAAATGTGTGAGCATTCTTGTTTCTCCCTAACTTCGCCAGTAGAATATGTTGTCAGATACTTGGATTTTTGCCAGTCTGATAACTGAGAAATGATATCTCAGGGTGAGCTTAAGTTGCCTTTCTGGATCATGATTGGGGTTGATCATCTCCATATGGTGTAGATTCATTTGCCTTTTTGTCCCTGTGAACTGCTTTTGGTATCCCTGGCCCATTTTCCTATAGGTTTGTTGACCTTTTTATTCTCTGCAAAGCTCTTTACATATTTAGGATATCAGCCCTTCATTGATGTTCTACGCTGTAAACTTTTTTTTTCTCAGTTTGTCATTTATATTAGCATTTTCATTATTGTTTTTAAATTTTTTGCCAGAGGGTTCATGAACTTGTTGGAGAGAAACAGAGAGAGAGAGAGGAGAGAGAGAGAGAGAGAGAGAAAGTGAGAAAGCCCCTCTACCCAACTGGGGATGGTCACACCACAATCTCTTCTCTCCATTTCTCTCTCCTTTAAGGATTTTGGGCATGCATGCACATGTGCCTGGTGCGTTTCTCAAGCCACTGCACTTGGGACTCTTGAACTATGCAGTTGGCTATGTGGAATCCAGCCTCCTTAACTGCCCTGCCACTGGCTAACCTTATTTTAATTTTTCTTGGGGTTTTTAATCTTTTTTTTTCTCCTTTCTTATTATATAAAAATTGCTTGTGTAATCAAATGCATGAATTTCCCCCCTACTGCTTCTGGATTTTGAGTCATTATTTGTCAGTGGTCTTTCATGATTATTTCTAAGCCTTTATGTAATTGTGATATGTCACCCCCATATTCTCTTTTTTTATTAGTATTAAAGTTCCCATTGGCTGTCAGGTCCACACGGACAGGATTCCCTCTGAAATGGAGATTTACATGCTGAGGCTGTGGAAGAGTGCCCTTGGAGTGGGGTAGAAGTGGAAGTTGAGTGGTACCATTAGTCTCAGCGATCCCATGGGAAGCTGTGGGGTTAGGGCCTTTAGAGTTGAGGAAGGGGGCAGGGCCAGTCTTCCAACCAAGGAGGGAAAGTGACCTGGGTTAAGGTGGTCTCCCTCAGCCAATGGCCATATCTGAGAGAGGTATTCAGCTTCAAGGCTTAGTTGGGGAAATGAGGGTCTCAGTTCTGAAGGAGCCTATGAACAAACACCAAATGTTCCCCTAGGTACCTGTCCGTCTTGTTCATTGCTGTGTTTGCCACACCTAACTGCTTGTACATGCCAGGTGCTCGGAAGAGAAAAGTGAACAAAAATCCACATTTCCAAAGCTTAGCCTGCACTAGCTGGGTCTCAGTGTAGGTGTAGGAGAGAGAAGAGCAGCCCTGGGCAGAGGGCAGAGGGACCTTCTCCTTGGCCTGTCCCCATCTGCAGCCACAGGATGGTCTCCAGGGCCTCTCCTCAGTTCAGGGGTCTGGGCTGACCAAGGCCTAGTGTGGCTGGGCTGGGCCGGGGTGGGGATTGGAGTCCTCAGTGTCACCCTAGACCCTGTGACTGTTTTTCAGGTGTGCGTCACTCTGTAGCTTTCAGGTCTGATGTTCTTACCTCTCTCTAGCATTCCTTGAAGAAAAGAGGAACCCGCTCTTTGGGGAAGACGGACAAGAAACCTTCGGTGCAGGTACGTACCCAGGCAGCCCCCACAGGCAGGTTTTGTCTAAAGGACTGAGCCTAACTCCAGCTGGCCTCGGGGGTCCCAGCCTTCCAGCTCCTTCCTTGTCCACCCGTGTTCATGTTCTTAGCTTCACTGCCCACTTCCCTCCCCAGAACCACTTCCTGAGCCCATCGTTCTTGGTGCTCAGATTCCCCGAGGAATAGCAAGCAGACTTACCAGACAGCACAGCCACCAGGTCTAAAGGTTTGGAGTCAGAGACCTGGGTTCGAATCTTGGCTCCTCCACTTGAGTGCCATGTGATTGGGGCAGGTCACTTCAACTTTCTGGCCTCCTTTTCTTCATCTGTTCATGTCTTAGGAGCTTGTCCTCAGAGTTAGGGAAAGTCCTGGATGCTGCAGGCCAGGCATAGAACACTGTTAGCTTCTAGTGGTCTAGCACATTTCATATATTATCTCATATAATTCTATCCATTGCTCTGTGAGGTAGAGCATGTTACTACCCTGTTTTACAGAGGGGGAAACCACAGTAGTTATGGTGTCACAGCAACAGCAGTTACCCAGTCAGAATGTCACCTGCTTCCACATTCCTGATCTCCCTGTGGCCCTCCCTCCCTGCTCCAATATCAGCATCCCCTGGGGACCCCCCCAACTCTTCGAGGCTACGTCTGGCCCATTTCTGTGTTCTCAGCACATAGTGCTCTCCCAAATGCTATGGCTGGTAGCTAGCTTCTTAGCACTAACCTTCCTGGGTCCTGTTTGTCCCTGCACTATCGGGCCCCAGGAGGACAGTGCAGACCTGAAGTGCCAGCTACACTTTGCAAAGGAGGAGTCCGCCCTCATGTGCAAGAAGCTCACCAAGCTGGCCAAGGAGAACGACAGCATGAAGGAGGAGCTGCTCAAGTACCGCTCGCTCTACGGCGACCTGGACGGCGCCCTGTCCGCCGAGGAGCTGGCAGACGCACCCCACTCGCGGGAGACGGAGCTGAAGGTGCATTTGAAGCTGGTGGAGGAGGAAGCCAACCTGCTGAGCCGCCGCATCGTGGAGCTGGAGGTGGAGAACCGAGGCCTGCGGGCCGAGATGGACGACATGAAGGACCACAGTGGCGGCTGTGGGGGACCCGAGGCCCGGTTGGCCTTCTCTGCACTGGGCGGCAGCGAGTGCGGGGAGAGCTTGGCGGAGCTGCGGCGGCACCTACAGTTCGTGGAGGAGGAGGCGGAGCTGCTGCGTCGCTCCTCCGCCGAGCTGGAGGACCAGAACAAGCTGCTGCTGAGCGAGCTGGCCAAGTACCGTGCAGAGCACGAGCTGGACGTGACGCTGTCGGAGGACAGCTGCTCCGTGCTCAGCGAGCCCTCGCAGGAGGAACTGGCAGCCGCCAAGCTGCAGATCGGCGAGCTCAGCGGCAAGGTCAAGAAGCTGCAGTATGAGAACCGTGTGCTGCTCTCCAACCTCCAGCGCTGTGACCTCGCTTCCTGCCAGAGCACTCGGCCAATGCTGGAGACCGACGCCGAGGCCGGGGACTCTGCCCAGTGTGTGCCCGCACCCCTGGGCGAGGCGCACGAGCCCCACGCGGCGCGGCTGTGCAGGGCCCGGGACGCCGAGGCTCTGCCAGGGCTGAGGGAGCAGGCAGTCCTGGTCAGTAAGGCCATCGACGTCCTGGTGGCCGATGCCAACGGGTTCTCAGCGGGTCTGCGGCTGTGTCTAGACAATGAGTGTGCCGACTTCCGGCTACACGAGGCTCCCGACAACAGCGAGGGCCCCAGGGACACCAAGCTTATCCATGCCATCCTGGTGAGGCTGAGCATGCTCCAGCAGGAGCTCAACATCTTCGCCCGGAAGGCCGACACGGTCCTGGGAAGCTCCGCCAAGGAGCAGCCAGAGCCCTTTTCTCAGGGGCCCTCCAAGGAGATTCTTCTGGCCAAAGACCTCGGCTCAGACTTCCAGGTAGGATACCCCAGTCACAGGCCCCAGGTCTTTTTGTTGTTATTTGCTAGAGTTCCTGGGCTGGCTGGAGAGAGACTGAGAAACAGAGAAAGAGGGAAAGTGAGAAGGCATCCTCCATGGGGGATAGTCATGCCAAATCCTTTCTCCTCCATTTTTCTTTCTGGACTTCAGGTATTTGTGCACAGACCCTGGCGTATTTCTCGAGATCCTGGGTCTGGACTAGAATTGTGCAGTTGTGGGATCCAGCCACCAACACCACTGCCACTGGATAGCCCCAATTAAAAAAAAATAATCATTTACTTTTATTTATCATCATTATTATTTTTAAATTTGCTACAGGGCACATGTGCTCATGTGCGAGAGACAGAGGGAAAGTGAGAAACCCAACCCCAAGATCTGGGACTCAAACCACAGTTGGCCATGTGGGAGTCCAAGGCCTTAACCACCACGCCACCTGTTGGCTCTTCAATTTTTTGTTAAAGACAGGCTCTCACCATGTGGCAATCCTCCTGTCTCCACCTCACTGCTGATGGTGGACTCCAGGCGCCTACAACTCACTAGCACATTCTTAGACTCTCACTGTGTTGCCCTGGCCAAGTGGAAGCAGGAAATTCTGCCTCAGCCTCCCAAGTTGCTGCCCTGCCTTTAGGTTGAACTGGAAATTCAACCTGGCCACCCCTGTGGTCCCAGTGCAGCTTCCTAGCTGTGTGCCATTGCAGCTGGGCCCTAATGAACGTTTCCTGAACCATAACTTAGACAGAGAAGGGCCAAAGCACATGTGTACAGCTTCACAATTTCCCTGAGGCGAGCACATCCTCGTGACCTGCACCCCAGGAGTGCCTCCTCGTGCCCTTTGTAGTCACCATCCCTGCTCCCAAGGAGAGCCCCTCTCTTGATTTAGTTCTGTCTGGTTTTGTTTTTTTAAAGAATTGCTTTATTTATGTTTATTTATTTATTTATTTAAATTTGTCCAGAGAGGGACAGAGAGAGAGCGAGTGCGGGTGAGAGAGAAAGTGAGAAAGCAAGGCACCAGCTCCAGGACTCGCACTGTGGTCAGCCATGTGGGAGTCCAGTGTCCTTCACCGCCCTTCACCTAGTGCTGTCTGTTTTGAGCTTCATATAAATTGGGTCATAGAAGAGCACAAGCTCACTCCAGCCTGGCTTCTTTCACTCAGCTTGATGTTGGTGTGGCATCTAGTTTGTTTATTCTATTATTATTGTTTTGCTTGTTTATTCTTATTGCTGGAGAATCTCAGTGAGTGAATTCCCACAATTACGTGCTCATTTACTACTGGTAGATACTCCGCTCAATTTCAAAGCCCTATCTTTCTGCCAGATTGCCCTTTCTTTCTTTTTTCTTTTTTTAAGAGAGATTTTTGCTATAGGGCACAGAGAAACAGAAGGACAGAAAGCGAGAAATCACCTCCCGGGGGAGATGGCCATGCCGCATCCCTTCTCTTCCAATCTCCTCTCAGGATTTTGGACACGTACACACATATGGCCTGAGTGCGTTTCAAGCCTCTGCGTCCAGGATTCAAACCACAGTCAGCCCTGGGGGAGTCCAGCAATGTAACCATTATGCCATCTGCTGGTCCCTGCCCTTTCTTTATTTTCATTCTTTATTTTTAGATTTTTGCCATAGGGCATATATACTCACCAGGGAGAGACAGAGAGGGAAAGTGAGAAATTACACACACACACACACATCCCATCCCCCAGGAGAGAGGACCACACTGCAGTCCTTTCTCCTCCATGCTTCTCTTGGGATTTGGGGCACATGCACATACATGCCCAATGTGTTTCTTTCTTTTTTTTGGGAGAGGTTTTTGCTATAGGGCACATGCGCTCACCAGACAGACAGAGAGAAACATAGAAAGGGAGAAATCACCCCCCAGGGATGGTCACGCCGCAATCCCTTCTCCTCCATTCTCCTCTCGGGATCTTGGACACACACACACACACACACACACACACACACACACGTGCCCGGCGTGAGTTCCAAGCCACTGGGTCCGGGACGCGAACTGCGGTCGACTACGTGGGAGTCCAGCGACATAGCCATTACGCTAATTGCTGGTTCCCCCCAATGTGTTTTTTAAGCAGCCAAGTCTGAGACTCAAACCCACAGTCGGCCATGTTGGAATCCAGCACCTTAACCCCCTGCTTCCCCTTTCTTATTTTCTTTTCTATAATTTTGTATTTTAAAGCAAGTATTAAGATATTTTAAAAATCGGAGCAGCAGATGGCATAATGGTTATGTAAATGGACTCCCACGTAGTCGACCATAGTCTGAGTCCCAAGCAAAGCACATGTGTACAGCTTCACAATTTCCCTGAGGCGAGCACATCCTCGTGACCTGCACCCCAGGAGTGCCTCCTCGTGCCCTTTGTAGTCACCATCCCTGCTCCCAAGGAGAGCCCCTCTCTTGATTTAGTTCTGTCTGGTTTTGTTTTTTTAAAGAATTGCTTTATTTATGTTTATTTATTTATTTATTTAAATTTGTCCAGAGAGGGACAGAGAGAGAGCGAGTGCGGGTGAGAGAGAAAGTGAGAAAGCAAGGCACCAGCTCCAGGACTCGCACTGTGGTCAGCCATGTGGGAGTCCAGTGTCCTTCACCGCCCTTCACCTAGTGCTGTCTGTTTTGAGCTTCATATAAATTGGGTCATAGAAGAGCACAAGCTCACTCCAGCCTGGCTTCTTTCACTCAGCTTGATGTTGGTGTGGCATCTAGTTTGTTTATTCTATTATTATTGTTTTGCTTGTTTATTCTTATTGCTGGAGAATCTCAGTGAGTGAATTCCCACAATTACGTGCTCATTTACTACTGGTAGATACTCCGCTCAATTTCAAAGCCCTATCTTTCTGCCAGATTGCCCTTTCTTTCTTTTTTCTTTTTTTAAGAGAGATTTTTGCTATAGGGCACAGAGAAACAGAAGGACAGAAAGCGAGAAATCACCTCCCGGGGGAGATGGCCATGCCGCATCCCTTCTCTTCCAATCTCCTCTCAGGATTTTGGACACGTACACACATATGGCCTGAGTGCGTTTCAAGCCTCTGCGTCCAGGATTCAAACCACAGTCAGCCCTGGGGGAGTCCAGCAATGTAACCATTATGCCATCTGCTGGTCCCTGCCCTTTCTTTATTTTCTTTCTTTATTTTTAGATTTTTGCCATAGGGCATATATACTCACCAGGGAGAGACAGAGAGGGAAAGTGAGAAATTACACACACACACACACATCCCATCCCCCAGGAGAGAGGACCACACTGCAGTCCTTTCTCCTCCATGCTTCTCTTGGGATTTGGGGCACATGCACATACATGCCCAATGTGTTTCTTTCTTTTTTTTGGGAGAGGTTTTTGCTATAGGGCACATGCGCTCACCAGACAGACAGAGAGAAACATAGAAAGGGAGAAATCACCCCCCAGGGATGGTCACGCCGCAATCCCTTCTCCTCCATTCTCCTCTCGGGATCTTGGACACACACACACACACACACACACACACACACACACGTGCCCGGCGTGAGTTCCAAGCCACTGGGTCCGGGACGCGAACTGCGGTCGACTACGTGGGAGTCCAGCGACATAGCCATTACGCTAATTGCTGGTTCCCCCCAATGTGTTTTTTAAGCAGCCAAGTCTGAGACTCAAACCCACAGTCGGCCATGTTGGAATCCAGCACCTTAACCCCCTGCTTCCCCTTTCTTATTTTCTTTTCTATAATTTTGTATTTTAAAGCAAGTATTAAGATATTTTAAAAATCGGAGCAGCAGATGGCATAATGGTTATGTAAATGGACTCCCACGTAGTCGACCATAGTCTGAGTCCCAAGCCCAGAGACTTAAAACTCATGCTGGGCATGTGTGCGTGTATGCCCAAGATTTCAAGAGGAGAATAGAGGAGAAGGGATTGCAGTATGGCCATCCCCCCTAGGGGGAGGGGGGTGATTTCTTGCTTTCTATCTCTCTGGTGAATGCACATGCCCTATAGCAAAAATCTCTCTTAAAAAAAAAAAAAGAAAAGGTTTTTTAAAAATCTTTATGAACTAGCTGATGGCATGGTGGTTAAGGCAGCTGAATCCCACGTGGCTAAATGAATATGTGGTTTGAGTCCCAGATCTGGTGGCTCGAAAAGATGGGTGGGTGTGTATCCAGCCCAAAATCCTTAAAGGAGAAATGGACCGTGATGTGGCTATTTCCCATGGGGTGACTTTCACTCACTCTGTCTCTCCACTGAGTACACACGCCGTCTAGCAAGTTACTGAAAAAAAAAAAGTATGCAGGTTCTAAAAGGCAAGAAACTGGGCTTTCTAAAAGTAATGTACTAACAGCCTCGAGATGTATAAAATACAACAATATCAAGGGCACTCATCCAAAATAATAATAACTTAAAAAATTAAAAATAATAATTACAAAAGTAATACATAAACATTCAAAACATTTCAGAAATGTCCAAGATAAAAAGATGAAAACCCCCTCCACCTGCTTCCTGCTCCCTTCTGGTATCACTATGAACAGTCTGCCCACTGTGGTAGCCACCGCATATGGCTCCTTAAATTTAAATGAATAAGCATGCAGATAATTGAGCATTCGGTCCCTCGGTCACCGTAGCCACGTTGCGAGTGTTCATTAGTCGTGTTGCGTATGTCTAATGACAGACTGAGGCTATTTCATCATCGCAGCAGGCCCTTCTGAACCTTCTCTACATGTACACGCAGATGTTTGTATTTTCACCCAAACTGGTTTCTGTCACACCTACTATTACCACACAACTTCTTTTCAAGAGAGAGAAGGACCGAGAGAGGGAAAGAAAGAGATCGTAATTTTGGCAGGTTCTCGCATGTGACGGTCCTCCTGTCCCCAGCCCCCAGTGAGGTAGGATTACAGGTGTGTGCCACTGCATCCCGCCTATTTAGCTTGGTCTGGGAATCGAACCTGGGCCTCCCATGTGACCCCAGCCTTGCACAGAGGTGCCCGACTGCGTTTGCCTCTGAGATTGGGGCACATCTTCTCATGTATCAATTTGTTCATTAGTTTATGATGCCTTGTTTGTTGTTTGTACACTTCTTGTGCTCAGTGCTGGAGGTGCCATGGTGAGCAAAACGGATATGGTTGGTTCCTGCTCACATGGCCCTTGGCATCTAACGGAGGCGTTTATCAAAATACCATGCCAGCGAGCCTGAAATTACACATGGGGAGGGATCTGAAGGAAAGGTGTGTGGTTTTATGAACAGGAACTTGAGCTAGACCCAGGGTCAGGGAAGGCCTCTGATGTGACCCGAGGTCAGTGGGATGGATTACCATGGGAAGAGTATTCTAAGCAGAGGGAACAGCCTGTGGTAATGCACAGTTCAGATCAGAGGCAGAAGGCGCTTGTTATGTCCACGGAACTGAGAGAGAAGGGGTTAGGCTGGACTGCACAGAGCATTGGAGACGTTTGATGCTCATCCTCAGAGCAAAAAGCAGTGATACTTCTGTGTCTGTATAGAGACTTAGCTCTGTATTGTTTTTTCCTTCCAAATTGGCCAGAGGTCACATGTGCTTGTTTAAGGGGAAGAGGGGAGGAGAAAGGGGGAGGGTCACACCACAATCCCTTCTACTCCATTCTCCTTTCCGGATTGTGGACACACATGCAAACGTACCTAGCATGTTTTTCAAGCTGCACACTTGGCAGTTTGAGTCCTAGACTTGGGATCTAGTCACCTTAATACCACGCCACTGGCTGGCCCTGCTCTTATTTTTTTAATGAGCACACCGTGGAGCTGTGTCGTAATTTCTTTCATTTCTCATGGCCTGTTGCTCTAGCTTGATGTTGCCTTTTAAGCAAAGGCTGTCCCATGTAGCTCTCCCTCTTTGTTCTCCTTGGAGTAGGAGCTGGGGCCACACGTGTGGTAGGACAGTTGGGGCTGTTTCAGAGAGTTTGCGTACAAAGCCAGTATTTGCGTTCACCCTTTGCCTACTGATTCATCCTTCCCACAGACATTCATTAAGTGGTGACAGAGCCCCTACCCAGAGCTGGGTCTGAGCTGCCCAGTGAATCTGCTTGGGTTTAGCCCTCAGGGGACGGTCAGTGTGGAGCCCAGAGGCCAGGGAGGGGTGCTCTTCCTGGTATCTTTTGGGCCCCTCTCCATGTTTATCTTTGGTCTCTTTTTCCTGTGCCGCTGGGTGTAGCCATCTGACTTCAGGGACCTGCCAGAATGGGAGCCCAGGATCCGAGAGGCCTTCCGCACTGGTGACATGGACTCCAAGCCTGACCCCAGCCGGAGCTTCAGGCCTTACCGGGCTGACGACAATGATTCCTACGCCTCTGAGGTGGGTCTAGGCCAGATCGAGCAGGGAACTGGGTAGGAAGAGAGTAGCAGGGCATCCCCAAAGCATGGAGATTCTCCATGGGGAATCTTAATTGGTAATGATACAGGTTTTTAAGCATTCTATTTGGTTCCAAGCTTTCCAGCGGCCATGGCAAAAATGGAAATAAGAATATTTGGGCCATTCTCATAGTCTAATCAAAGGAAGCTTATAAGCTCTCTGAAGAAATTATTTCAATTTTAAAAAACAATTTTGCCAGAGAACACATTTGCTCACCAGAGAGAAGAGGGAGAAAGCATCCTCCTAATGGGTGTAGGCATGCTGTAATCCCTTCTCCATTTCTACTATTGAGAGTTAGGGCACATATGCCCATGCACCCAGCATGTTTTTCAAGCTACCAGGGCCAGGATTCAAACCATGATCAGCTATGTGGTATCTGTCTCCTAGTGCACAGCACTTAGCCCTGTACTATGGGGCCCACCCCTTATTTTTTTCTTAAGATCTTATTGTATACTCATTCTAAATAACACAGAGTCTCTAAGTAGCACTGCATGCAGGTATAAAGAAGAAAGCCATCACATAGCTAAACATTGTTTACACTTTGTGGGTATATGTGTCTGTGTCCATGTCTCTCTCATGTTTTTCCATTATGTGTCTGTGTCCATGTCCCTCATATGTTTTTCTATTAAGGTATTTTTGTTTGTATTGTTTTTGAAATGTGAGGATACTTCAAACGGTTCATGGAAAAAATGGAATTAAAGTATGAATTCATTTTGGGGCAAAAAGAGCTGAAATTCATGCATTTCTTTCATAACATGCATTTCCCTTGAACTGTTTGAAGACCCCTCATATGCGAAGGCCTATTAAGAACTTTTTTTTTTTTTTTTTTGCTACAGGGTGCACGCACTTATCAGAGAGAGGCAGAGAAAAAGAGAAAAATAGACAGGGGGAAAGTGAGAGAGCACCCTCCATGGTGGATGACCACGCCACAATCCCTTCTCCTCCATTTCTCCCTTTGGGATTTTGAGCACACATGCGCATGTGCCGGTGTGTTATACAAGCCACTGGGTCCAGGACTACAACCAGACAGTCAGCCATGTAGGATCAAGGCACCTTAATTAACCACCATGCTACCAGCTGACCCAGCCATTAAACACATTTTTTTAAAAAGTTTATTTACTGGGACCAGCAGGTGGCATAGGGTTGAGGTGCTAGACTCACATATGGCAGGTTGGTTCAAATCTCAGACCCAGCAGCTTGAAACTCATGCCAGGTGTGTGTGTATGCATGCCCAAATCTGGAGAGGAGAATGGAGGAGAAAGCGTTGTGGCATGGCCATCTCCCCAGGGGATGATTTCTCATTTTCTGTCTCTCTCTCTCTCTGGTGAGTGCACGTGCCCTATAGCAAGAATCTTTTTTTAAAAAAGTCTTATTTATTTATTTATTTATTTTTCTTTTTTTTTGGGGGGAGGGATTTTTGCTATAGGGGGCATGCACTTGCCAGACAGACAGAAGAGAGACAGAGAGACAGAAAGCAAGAAATCACCCCCCAGGGGGGATTATTTATTTATTTATTTTTCTTTTTTTTTGGGGGGAGGGATTTTTGCTATAGGGGGCATGCACTTGCCAGACAGACAGAAGAGAGACAGAGAGACAGAAAGCAAGAAATCACCCCCCAGGGGGGATTATTTATTTATTTATTCCATGAGAGAAAGAGAAGGAGAGAAGAAAAGAGAGAGGGGGACAGGCTTTCCCAGCAGGGTCTTCATGCTGTGATCTATCCTCAGTCTCAACTGTTCCAGGTCATAGGGCTACACATGTGTACCTGACATGCTCAGTGAAGTCCCAGGATGTGAACCCTGGACCTTTCCCATGTAGGTCTGGTTGTGTGACCACACTGTTTTATTACCTGTCCTGCCACATTAAACTCATTTTTAATCTCCATCATTTATTATGTAAGTTGTTTATTTTTCTTTCTTTTCTTGAAGAGAGATTTTTGCTATAGGGCGTATGCACTTGTTGGAGAGACAGAGACGGAGAGGTAGACAGAAAGCAAGAAATCACCCCCCATAGCGGTGGCCATGCACAATCCCTTCTCCATTCTCCTCTTGGGATCTTGGGCACACATACACCCGGCATGAGTTTTAAGTTGCCTGGTCCAGAACAGTTGACTATGTGGGAGTCCAATGATGTAACTTTATGCCATCTGCTGGTCCCTATGTGAGTTGTTTCTAAAATTTTGCAATTATAAACAAGAAGAGAATGGACATTGTTGTCAATCAAACTTAGTTTTGACAGTACAATATATCCTCAGGTCAATTTCAAAGAGAGAAACGATCAAGTTAGAATGAGAACGACTGTATTTGACATACACTGTTTTCTCTCATTGTCGTGACATTCCACCGACGTAGGGGCAGGGCAGCCATCGTGCCTGATTTGTACTTGGTCACCTTGGTCTGACTTACTTTTGCTGTCCTATCGCTCTCATCCTCTGATCACAGATTCTATGCTCTCCCCACTCCCTTGGTATCTGTGTCCCGTCCCCACTCCAGATCAAGGAGCTGCAGCTGGTGCTGGCTGAGGCCCATGACAGCCTTCGGGGCTTGCAAGAGCAGCTGTCTCAGGAGCGACAGCTACGGAAGGAGGAGGCCGACAACTTCAACCAGAAGATGGTCCAGGTATGTGGTGCCCAGCGCCTCCCCTGCACACCTTCTCCACCAGCCCTCTTGATCTGGAGGACAAGGCCTTGGGGGCCCATGGATCCTCACAAGGCAAGAATGTCCTGGGAAACCCGAGTCCTCCAGCCCCCATGCCCTGCTGGGGTCTGAGTGTACTTGTGATTGTGCATTCTCTCTGCTGGGCTGCAGACCTGCACCTGCCATTGGCTGCCTGTGCGACCCTGAGCCAGTCATGGTTCTTTTCAGGACCTCAGTTTCCCATCTATGGAATGGTGCTTCTTTCAGGACCAGATGGTAATCAAAATAATAGACCTATAATAGCATTTATTAAGCTACTACTGTCTGCCATGCTGTGCAGTACACTTTTTACACATGATGTGCTTGAATCCTTACGGCCTGCCCTACGAGGTGTCCCCATTTACAGATGGGAGAACCAATGCGCAGTGATTTGAAGAGCTCCGCCCTGGGTTGCACAACCAGAGAGAAGGGGGGTTGGGATTCCAGGCCAGGTCTCTGGCTCTCTTAGCCATGACACTGCATTGTTCCTTGGGAATTATTGCATATTCGTCAGCCTTCCTCAATCCCAGCACGCCCTTTGTTCTCCACGTGGGTCATCCCTGCCTGCCACCATAGGAGGATGGCTCCTGCCCTAGCAGAATCCTTATTAAATGGGAGAGTTCATGTGGAACATCTGACACCCAGTAGGTGCTCAGTGTATAATGCAGGTTTTTAAATTTAAAGTAATTTTTATTATTGTTATTATTTTTTTCGGATTTTTGCCATAGGGCACATGCACTTGCCAGAGAAACAGAAAGAAGCGGAAAGTAAGAAATCACCCCCTGGGGGGCTGGCCACACTGCAATCCTTTCTCTTCCATTTTCCTCTTCAAATTTTGGGCATGCATGCACATGCCGGGTCTGGGACTCGAACTGGTCGGCTGCACATGCGTCTAGCACCTCAACTATTGCACCACCTGCTGACCCCTATTATTAATGTTTGACAGTCAAATCAAGGATATTACCATAATGTGGGTTTTTGTAGTCAGAGCTAAGAGAAAATCCTAGCTCCATAACTGATTTGTCACCATGGCTGCTGCAGCTGTGTGAATTTCTCCTCCCTGGAGTAGCAGAGGGCAGTGCTGATCTGAATAGGATGAACTGCTAGCAGTGGAATCCTTGGCAGGGATCACCCACAGGCACCTCCCAGATGTCCCTCTGCCCTTGCCAGGGCCTGAAGTGGGGTGGGTCAGGCCAGAACACTGAACTGGAGTTGCTCAAGCTCTTGTCCCGCTGCAGCTGAAGGAGGACCAGCAGAGGGCGCTCCTGAGGCGGGAGTTTGAGCTGCAGAGTCTGAGCCTCCAGAGGAGGCTGGAGCAGAAGTTCTGGAGCCAGGAGAAGAACATGCTGGTGCAGGAGTCTCAGCAGTTCAAGCACAACTTCCTGCTGCTCTTCATGAAGCTCAGGTGGTTCCTCAAGCGCTGGCGCCAGGGCAAGGTTTTGCCCAGCGAGGGGGATGACTTCCTTGAGGTATGATTGGACTCGAGACCAGACTTTGGGGCAGAGGGACAGGGAAGATGGGGATGCCCAGCTGATGCTTGTGTGTGGGCCCTTGACTTGCGGGCTTCCTTTCCTGCACTCATTTGCTCATTCAGCACCTGTCAGTTGAGAACCAGCCCTTTACTAGGCCGTGGGTAGATGTTGGGGATACCGAGGCTGGTCCCAGCCTCATCAGGACAAAGTCTCTTTAGAGGCCGGCAGGTCCTTACCACCAAGGCTTCAGCAGACAACAGCATCTAGATAAACTTAGTAATCTAGTTTTGCTGTAACTCATATGCATATCTAGAGGAGAGGTCTATAAAAAGTTCCTGAAAAATACATAGTACAAAAATATTATGCATAGATTTTAAAATGTTTTTGCACCAAAATAAACGTATGCTACTTAAAAAATGTATTTATTTCTTCCAGGAGTAAAAGAGACAGGTACCTCCAATCAGGTTCCCACAGTGAGATCCACCCCAGTTTCATGGGTGACATACTCATGCCCAGGGTGTTCGGGGAGGTCTCCGGATATGAACCCAGAACCTTCCCATGTGGGTCAGCCTTGCAGAGCGGCACACTTTATCTCTGTGCCACCATCCAGTAGCTCCCCTTTCCTGGGTTTTTGTCCTGAGCAAGGAGAAATTGTCTTCAATGACAGGAAAAGCAGGTTTGGAATGAAGAGCAGAAGTTTGGTTTTGGATCTAACATTCACAAAGCCCAAGTGAATTAAACAGATCTGTCTGTCTTGCTCATTGAGGTCTCCCTGGCTCCTAACACAGAGCCTGGCACATGGTAGATGCTCAGTAAATACTTAAATGAATGAATGCTGAACCAACACCTCAGTCAGAAGGTGGTGTCCCTCTTCTTCATTTCCAGCCTGAACCAACTCCCTGATGGCCCTGAACTTCTGTCCAGAATCCTTCAGCAACAAATCTTCCCCTCCAGGAAGACTCCCTCCGTCACCCTTTGGTTCCCTTGGCCATCATCATGGGGGTGACTGTGGCCCTTTTACTCCAACCACAGTGCCTATCTTGACCCCGCCCAACAACATAGTTCTTCTTCTTAAAATGTGTTTCATTCCCGGTAGAGAGGGCATGGGCACGCATCAGAGAGAGGGAGAAAGAGAAGTAGCCTCGACAGTCTCATCACGCCACAGTTCCCTTCCTTCCCACCCCTAAGATCCTCAGGATGTTGGCACCATAAACCCCCATCCCTCCTTCTGCCTGGCTGCACGGTCCCCTCCCTCTGAAGGCTGGAGCCCAGGTGTGACCCATTCCCACCCTCTGTTGAATGTGATTTCAAACCAGGTAAACAGCATGAAGGAGCTGTACCTGCTGATGGAAGAAGAGGAGATCAACGCCCAGCATCCTGATAACAAGGCCTGCACGGGGGACAGCTGGACCCAGAACACGGTGAGTCCTCTCTGGCCCATTTGTTCCTTTGTTAGTTCAGGGGTCACTTCTGCTGCCTTCTCTGACCCCAACCTCGTGGGCACTGGAGCTGTAGAGAGTCCCTGGCCCCCAGATGCTCTGTGCTCTGGGGTATGTAAGTCTTTCCTGGGCAGTGACAGAGGGCCAGAGGATGGAATGAGGGGGACACAGGCACGGGAGCATTGAATTCTTTTTGGAGTATAGCAAACAGTATCCCAGAGAATGGGTCATTGGTGGTGGGTTTTGAAGGATGAAAAGGAGCTTGCCTAATAGAGATTGGGGAAGGTCTCTGGACCCAGAGAATTGTGTAGAGGCATGGCACGGTATTCTAGCATTGGCTATGGCTTGGGGGTACTCTGTGGGGTAAGTCAGGACATCTGGTTAGGGTCATACTAGGAGAGGTTTTGTAGTCTGGGGTCAGAAAACCCTCAGTCAAGCCAGAGGTCAGAGAACGCAGTGGGATCAGGCTCCCAGGCTCACACACAATGCGGAATGAGGTCTCGGGCTAGGAGAGACGATTTAGCACTATGTTGGGCACAGGAGGGGATTAGACTCCACATCTGGCCTGAGAGGCAGATCCTGAGCGAGGATGACCCGTAGCCTAGGCGCTGCAGAGCCTCGAAGAAGCCAGGTTAGTCAGCTCAGGTTAGGCTGGGTGAGCAGCACTGGCACTGCAGGACTTTTTGTTGATGTGAGGCTAGAATTCATGTCATCCTAGCAGGTAGCCAGAGCTGCCAGTCATCCCCATCTAATGGGTGAGATGACCTGCCAAGGGTCTGGGAGTTGCCTGCAGCCAGGTGGAGCTCAAGCCAGGCGCACAGGTGAGTTCTCTGGGCCCCAAGAGCTCCTGACCAGGCCTGCCCCTTCTGCAGCCCAATGAGTACATCAAGACGCTGGCCGACATGAAGGTGACGCTGAAGGAGCTGTGCTGGCTGCTCCGGGATGAACGCCGTGGTCTGACTGAGCTTCAGCAACAGTTTGCCAAAGCCAAGGCCACCTGGGAGACCGAGCGGGCAGAGCTCAAGGGCCATGCCACCCAGGTGAGCCTCCACCCGTCAGAGACACCTCCCCCTCATTTGCAGCTCTCAGCTCTGATGTCCACACAGCCGTGCTCCTAGAAGCCTAGGAATTCCCTCAGTTTAACTCGTAGCCCAGAGAGGCCAAGAGACTTGCCTAGAATCACACAGCAAGGGTATCAGAAACAGTGGGCATCGGGAGTCACTGGGTCAGGGATGGAAGATGTGGTGTTGGCAGAGGGGCACGGGAGCGTCACACCATGGTTCTTTTTTTCACTATAGGGCGCATGCGCTCGCCAGACAGACAGAGAGAGACATAGAGACAGAAAGCGAGAAATCACCCCCCAGGGGGGATGGTCACGCTGCAATGCCTTCTCCTCCATTCTCCTCTCGGGATCTTGGGCACGCACGCACACGCACCCGGCGTGAGTTTTAAGCCACCAGGTCCAGGATGCGAACCGCGGTCGACTACGTGGGAGTCCAGCGACATAGCCATTACGCTAACTGCTGGTTCCCAACACCATGGTTCTTCACACCCTGCCTGGACTCCTGCTACCCACTCTTCATTTGTTCCTTCCTCTCCTCATGAGGATCCTCCTCATTAACCACTGCTGCCTGGCTCTGCTTGGCTTCTTCTCCTAAAACTGGGAACCTCGCCTTCAACAAACCAGTGTGACCTGAGGAGCCTTAACCAGCAGCCCTGGGGGTTTGGTGTCCACTGTGTGCCTGGGACAAATTGCTGCCCTACTGGTCTAAAGAGTGGGAGAGAGGGACCAGCAGTTAGCGTAATGGCTATGTCGCTGGACTCCCACGTAGTCGACCGTGGTTCACGTCCCGGACCTGGTGGCTTAAAACTCACGCCAGGCATGTGTGCGTGCGTGCCCAAGATCCCGAGAGGAGAATGGAAGAGAAGGGATTGCAGCGTGGCCATTCCCCCTGGGGGGTGATTTCTTGCTTTCTGTCTCTCTCTCTCTCTGTCTGGCAAGCGCACGCACCTCTCCCAAAAATAAATAAATAAATAACTGAAGCGTGGGAGAATGCTCCTTGATCTAGCCTGCCCTGCTGCAGGCTTCCTTCCTGGGCATCCCCAGCCCCTGGGAGGCGGGTCTGATGCTCTTCACTGCACGGATGATAAAGCAGGCACAGAGCAGTGCAGTTTCCCTCCCAATCTCGCCCAGCACGTAAGTGGCAGACTTGACTCTTGCTTCCCAAACCTGGCCCCACCCAGCCCTGCTTGGCTCCCCAGGCCATGCTCATGGACCCCTGGCTTCTCCCTAGAGCCACGCCTCCCCTCCCTGTCTGTGGATGTCACAGCTCCTGTTCATCTGCACCTTGCAGGGTCCTCTGCTCCCACTACGTACCCAAATACAGCCATTGCAGGGGCTTCTCCCCTGGAAACCTGGCTGACCCTGTGAGGGTCAACTCCCCAGACCACAGCCTGGTCCTGTGGGGGTAGTGACAGTGTGGAGGCTGCGTATTTTCCTCCTGCCACCCTGAGGTCCGGGCTGAGTGCACCATCATGCTGAGTGTTTCTGGCACATGTACATGCGTGTGTGCGCACATGTCCCTGTGCAGGCCCTGTGTGGACAAGATGGGGTCCCATCTCTCTAGGAGGGGGGAATAAAACATGTTCCCCATTAACCCAAACCCATACTGTTGGTGACATATGAGAAACAGTAACTAGGACCCTCTGCCCTGTCATAGCTATGTGCCCTTTGGCCCTCCCCCTCCTCTGTAAAAGATGGAGAATGGTCCTTACCTTGCAGAGTTTTCGTGAAGAACTAAGATAATGTCTGAGAAGCTGGGACAGAGCTCAGCTTGTAGAAAGAGCACCTCAAGCTTTTGCTGTGAGGAAGGGGTTCGTTCTGAGTAAGGAGGTCAGTGAAGCCTTCCCAGGTGGGGTGAGCCAAGGAGACCCCACCTCCCCCGCCCCCTCCTGGTACCAGCCGCCCAGTCTGCTTCTTCCTGCAGATGGAGCTGAAGGCTGGGAAGGGAGCCGGGGAGCGAGCAGGGCCCGACTGGAAGGCAGCCCTGCAGCGGGAGCGTGAGGAGCAGCAGCACCTCCTGGCCGAGTCCTACAGCGCTGTCATGGAGCTGACGCGGCAGCTGCAGATCAGTGAGCGCAACTGGAGCCAGGAGAAGCTGCAGCTGGTGGAGCGGCTGCAGGGCGAGAAGCAGCAGGTGGAACAGCAGGTGAAGGAGCTGCAGAACCGCCTCAGTCAGGTGAGGCTGCCTGGCCCACCCTCGTGCCTCCCACGAGGGCAGGTCTCTGTAGGAAAAGTCCAGAGGTAGCTCCTCTTTCAGGTACAGCTGGATCCAGGTGCTTAGCAAAAGCGGTAGGAACTAGACCTTTCTGCCTCAGACCCGCTTTCCTCTGTGTCAGCTTTACCCTTCAACGAGCGATACCCCAATATGGCCGCTCCTAGTTTCATGCTCACGTCTTACAGCTTAGCGGTTGTAATGGAGACCGTTCTTCCACAAGGCTCTGACCAAATCCCAGGAACCAAGAGGAACCAAGAGTGATTTCCATGGGAAAATTAAGAGTCCTCTGACCAAAAGAGAGGAGAAAGGAAAAGCATCATTAATCACACACTTTTGGAAAAAGAAACAGTAATAAAGGCAACAACCCAGATCACACTAGGCCAGCCCCACTACAGCACATACTGCACCCAGCTGCCACTTACCAACGGCTACGCTCTTTTTATTATAATCACACAAATCAGGGTTCTATGCTACCAGGGATGGGATTTGAACCACATGGTTGGGCATGCGGGATCAGCTTTCTCAACTACCAGACCTCAGGGTCAGCTCAGTATCCTCCCCCGCTTTTTTTTTTTTTTTTTTAATTTTGCCAGGGAGAGTATGTGCTCACTGGTGGGGAGCGGGGGAAGAAGTAACCCCCCCAACAGGGCATGGTAATGCCACTGTCCCTTCTCCATTTCTCCATCCTGTTGGGATTTTGGATACATGATACACACATGCTCAGTGGGTGTGTTTTTCAAGCCCCTGGGGTCAGGATTTGAACTATGGCTGGCCATGTAGGATCCAGCTCCCTTAACCACTAGGCCATGGGCTGGCCCAGGACTTCATCTTTACATAAGACCTCAGTATTATACAAGTATATTCCAATTCCTTCCCTTTATTGCTGTTTAAATTTATATTTGGGGTTTTAAACAATTTGTTATAGAGCATGTGCGCTTGCCAGAGAGAGAGAGAGAGGAAGCACTCCCTGAGGGGATGGCCACACTGCAATTCCTTCTCCTTTATTTTCTTGGGATTTGGGACATGCGTACACATGTGCCTGGCATATTTCTTGAGCCACCAGCTGTAAGACCCGAACTGTGCCATTGACCATGTGGGATCCAGCTACCTTAACCACCTGCTGGCCTAGTGTGATTTTGGTTATTGCCTTTATTATTGGTTCTCTTTTTTCAAAAGTGTCTTTTGCCCATGAGAGAAAGAGAAGCATACAGACACACACTACAGGGTCCTCGTGCCACAATCCACCCCCCCAACTTCAGCTGGCCTGATCGTAGGCAGGCACTCAAGCTGGGCATGCTCAGGGAGACCCCAGGAGATGAACCCAGGACCTTTTCCATGTGTATTCCATTACGTTCCTGCTGTGCCACTGCCTGCCCTACCCTTTCTCTTAGGTTAGCTTACTAAGGAGCAAATGCTGAGACATGCATCCGAGTGCAAGGAGGTTGAAGAACCTGTCCTGGTTTGCCTGGGACTAAAGGAAGTTCCTGGACTTTCTCTTTTAAAATTGGAACAGCCTCAGGCAAAACCTTTCCATTTTTTTAGAATGGAGAGTTTTCTGGGACATAAGACTTTCGGTGCTAACATTGGGAAAGTCCTGGGCACACCAAGATGAGCTGGTTACCCCGAGTGTGAGCGATCTGGGAAGGGGTGGAGGAAACCAGGGCAGGGAAGGGGAAGAAGCAAGCTAGGCCATGCTTTCAGGCGAAGTCTGGCCTCAGCAAGATGCTGTGACATGCCCTGGAGTGTAAGCAGTGGACACCTGTCCCTGGTCGACCTAAGGCAAGGAGTCAGACGCCTTCTGGACCAGCCTTTTGGCCCCCCTGCCTTGGGCCATCATTGGCAGTGGTTGGCTTCCAGCTAAACCTCTAGAGACGGTTGTAACAACAGACGGCACAGATGGGAGGTAGGTCACCAGGCCGTGGCACCCATCACACTGCCATCTCTTTCATTGCCACTCATCCAGCTGCCTGGCTTTGGGCAAGTTCCTTCCCTTCTCTTGGTCTCGATCCTCTCATCTGTGAAATGGAAGTGAGCACAGGAACCCCTACCCCATTTGCTTGCCGTGAGGATGAAATGAGTGATGTGTTCGAGCACATGGGCTCCACCCCATGCCACCTGGATGCAGTGGTGTTCGCAGAGGGGAGGAAAGCAGGAGGCACGTCCAGGCTTCTCTGGAAA